AAAACACAAATTACAGCTGTTAAAGAGAAACTCATCCACTTTTCTTCTGTTGATGCCAATGCCTGCTGCGAGGATTTAAAATTAGCATGGCATTCCTTTAATGGATGTTGGGGGGAATGTGCTCCTCTATAATTAAAAAACCTGTTAATATCCCTCGTAGGCCAAAATAAGAGGGGTTAGTATGATTATATGACAACTCTTCAAAAGGACACCTTGGTCGGTTGACTGTTAAACTGAAAAAATATGTCTGTATTTATTTCATTTTGTTTTATCACAAGGCCAGTGTTTCTATTAGAAGAATGTACATCTAAATGACCAAACACTGCTTTCATACAGTATATGCTGTTCAAATTAGTTTTCCTGTTTATGTGTATTATAAGAAAATGAAGTAACACTACATAATGGTGTGTGACCATACCAACGAGGTGGTCAGCACTGCAGCTTTAGTATGATCATGTGGCATATTAATGAACTTGCCTGATGTATGTGGGTATTTGCTGTTACAGGCTGTGTATGTCTCTATGGTCAGGGCTATATTCATATTATTCTTGACATAGTCCATGCACCTTATATTCATGGTGTAATGATGTGAGTAATAACCTGGTGATGTTAACAGCACCCTGCAATGGGACCTTTATCTATAGTATGATGACCCGGCTGCTAGTGGTCACAATGTATATGACCTCATCGCTGAATGTAATTTCCTCTCAAGAGCTCTTGGAAAGAGAGAGCTTATGTTGTTGAGCTCATGTCGTCGGGGCCGGTAACAGCAGCTTGCCATTGTATTAATTATTGTCAGGGAATCCAAGGGGTGTAGATAATACAGAATGCACTGGTTGGTCCCATTTGTTTCACTTGTCAGTGGAGTGAATAATTGGGAGTGCTGACCATATTAGACACAGAGAATTTCTAAAACATACGACTCAAACAGTCGCAACACAAAAGTATGGCAGGGAAATTAAAAAGCTTAATGTCTGAGAATTTCAAATCAGTATGGAATAATTTGCTGGCTTCCCATTGCCAAAGGAATTTACTGAAGTTTAACTCTGACAACAGTAATTCAGATTCAGAGTAAAACATACACTTAAGAATATTGTTCTAAGTAAGAGATTGTTTATTATTATATTTTACATTTTATTTTTTTAAGAGATGCTATACATAGTTCTTAAACATTATATTTATTTTGATAAACATACAACTTTAAAGCATGCTGCATTTGCTTCTCAGATAAGTGTCAAATATTTTGCTCCCCAACTTTATTCTTTAAAGGTTCGAGAACATTGATACAGTTTTAGTAGAAGGGGTTTGCTAATACAATGGGGCTCATCTTGCAATTCTCCCAAGGAATAACTATCAGTCCTGCTACAGCAGCTTTAGCGTCCCTAGGTGACCGCGCCACTGAGCCCGTGCTCGCTCCATCGCACCCCACTCCACGCCTGCTGCCACCCTGAAGGTAGATGCATCACGCTGGGGAGACTGCGCAACAGCAGCCCCCTCTCCCTCCAGCCCCCAAACCTCCTCCACGGCACAGTGGCCTCCTGCGGCCCCTACACATCTCCGGGTCTCCACTACAGCCCTGGTCCCAACAGCCCAGACTCTCCCTCAGGTGAGTCTCCATACCACCTCCATGTCTCCTCCCATCTGAACTGCACAACTGGTATCCTTTTGTCATTTGAGAAATGCCACACACACATACTGTACACACACACACATACACACACACATGCTCCTGTGCTCACTCTGAAGGGGACACCGCCTGTTCCTTTCTGCTCACCTCCCGGCTGCCGGCTGACTCTCTGAGCCGTGTCTGTGGTGGCTACGCCATGTGTGGGGATCTAGGGGTTTCAAACAGCAGGCCTCCCGTACTCCCTGAATGGCAAATATAAGTGCCTACAATTTATTACACTGTGGACGTTTTATGAATCATCTCTGGCTAACTTTGATCTGAGATGACAAGCATGCGCTAATCAGTCCCACTATCAAAATATATGTCAGAAATTTTAATCAAGTAAACATGTGACTGAATGAATTGGAAATTTCCAAATTCATCAGGATAAACTAAAGCTGCTATTAGAAATGTTACACTTGAACTGACCCTTTCACTTTCTGCTCACCTTTATAGATTAAACCGATGCTTCAAGTGAACTCATTTGTTTCTTTCGTGTCCAAGCTGCTCTTGGGAGGTGACAAACTGGTACAACCATTGCCACAAACAGTTACAGTTTCTTGGGACTCTGAAACAGAAACTCCCAATCAAAACCCCTTAAAATACCGTATGGAAACTGTTTCCATATCCAAAACAGTCATATCACATTATAATATTATTGCACACATAACTGTGAACTCCTCTAAGAGCATATAAAATACATGGGGACAGAAAGGAACCCAGCTTGTATTTAGACATATAATTAACTGGAACTGATGGTGGGGGGTCCTAAAATCGAACTGCTGATATACTGCTGCTTTACAATTTTGTATTTACTGTAACCTGCAGTTTGCATGAATTTTGTCTCACTAAAGCCTCTTTAAAGAGGCTTCCTGCAGCATCTTCTGTTTCCCTCCCTGGTTTTTTTTTTTATCAGACAAAAACCTTTAAACTATAACAGTTTCACTAACACATAAATTACAACTTTCACTTTATAGGTTGCCATACCACACCACACTTAGTTAACAAAATATTTTACAAACAAGATGCTATCACCCTCTCCATGATATTAATATGATATGTTCTCTGATCTGTAAACAGCTGGTTATCTTGCGTTTCCACGATAAGAGAAAGTGCTGAGGATTTACGCTTGGTGAGCACATTTGGGCTGAATCTTTCACACGTCACAAATTGCAGATGGGAAGCAGTGATCTTGAACAGCCGATCACATTTCCGTGACCATCTGACACCTTCCATTTAGGAAAATAATACTTTCTATCTTAGCATACCCCTCTGCAGCAGCCAGCAAAAGGAATTATGCCTGGTAGACTTTGCTATTCACAACTTTGGAGCTTCTCCTTTTGTTTTGTTCCATTGCACTGATTAGATTAAATGTTCACTCTTTAATCAGTTATTCAAGGCCACAAAAATGTCTTTGGTTCGTGTTGTTTAGTTTTGTTTTTGTGTTATAAACAATGAGATGTTCATGTTATAAGCATTACACAGGAAGTAGCTGAGGGGCAAATAAGGAGCTTATTAATCCATTTCACTGTATGAAGTAGATGATCAGGGGAATCTTTGTGAATCTCTTTGAGCAGCTGTCTCTTAATTCTCATATAACTGTTGTTATTTACTCTAATATCTTCCCCTCTTGTGTCTCTATAATGTTGAGGACCAAAATACTTTTTACCCACAGAGGTAGATATGGTATCTGAGTAATATGACAGATAAATATGAGTCGGGTTAACTGGTACAGAGAGTTGTAAATCACTGTGGTGTGATTCTTTGTCTCAAAGGGTTTAATTAGTCTAGAAATTCTTCTCTTATCTGATGACCCCCCCTCCCTCTGCACACTGCAACAACTTACAACCATAAACGCCCTGCAATCTGAAGACCAGTGGCCTCAGGAGACTGAGTTGCTACAAAGAGCTGAAAGAGTTGGGATTGGTCATTTTATTGCGTTAGAATAGCTCGCTCGAGACTTGGGTAATGTAGTGCTAACTGAGTGCTAGTGCAGATAACAAGTATGTGACTCAGAAGTGAAATACAGTGAACTACTGTAATGCTCTGCAGTGTCAAGTGAAAATGAAGCAACACAATAATAGTAGTAAAACAACAATACAAACTGCTTTCGTGGGGGTTTCAAAACACTAATTAATACTACAGTATTATAGTTTTCCTTCAGTGATGATGATTATTTGAGATGCAGTGCACAATCTAATCAGTCATCGCAGAGAGTTCATGTAGAATGAATTTGCTCAGTATAACTACAAGTGGGGGGGATATGCAGGCTGCGTGCTTGTCAAATATTCAAACATCAAACTATGTTCTGGTTCCATCTCTTATAAATGCTACCTATATGTGGCCTGTTATTGCTTGACGGTAGCATGGTGTTGCTCTGTTTCATAGTACATGAACAAACCCATTTATCCCTATCTGTCATTTCATAACTTGTGAGGTATCTGTCACTTCTGGTCCCACGGGAGTCCTGTATGTAAGTTTTGTTTTACTCTAATTGAGCTCTTAATTTAATTGACAGTTTATTCTGTCCTAATAAGTCATTTCTAACTGCTTTTGATTGTATTTGCAAGAATGTTATTTTTTTGCTTATTTTTAACCTGCAACCATCCGGTGTCAACCCAGTAATGATTAGGATTGCATTACCTGATTATTCATGAACAGGGTCATAGGAAGGATACAGCCTTAATTTAGATAATAAGATTAGGCGGCTTTGTTTCCCAGTTTTTGAATGTCAGTGTAAGACATCCAGACCTGGAGCCTGAGGCAGAAAGCTGGACAGAACTGAAGGGAGTTTGTATACTGTGGTTGTAGTAAACGAAGGTACAATAGAGTATTATGACAGTAACTAGATTTATCATACAGGACTGGAAGTACCTAGGGGCTTTTAGATTGGTGGTAGTTTGTGATAGAGTGCTGTGAATTTACACCATAAGGTCAAGTGGACGTTCACATAAGACAACAAAAAGTCTCATTTTCATTGATTCATCTGTCAGCTTGTTTTAATGGATAAAGGCCAGTCTTGTAGGCTTATTGGGTCTGTGGAGGTGAAAGTGTAAAGGCATACGGATATCCAACCAGGACTTTCACATACAGCACACTACTACTGTGCACTGATGGATGTTGTATTAGGTTTCAACCCTTTGTGTTTACAGGCCTGCAGCTAGACCTCAGGTCGTGAAAGAATGACCCGATCGGACAAGATAATACTACATGAAAACACTGTATGTTATGTTAGACTTGCTTTTTTTCTGTTTCATAACTTCACATCACTTTGGGTGTTTCATGGTGCACAGTGGCCTCGTTTCTTATGTCACATAGGGATGAAAAAAGGGGGGGATTTTATAAGCTTTAATTCAACATCATAAACAACATGTGTACATTATTGTGCATGTGGTATTTATGATACAGATGCAAAACTTGAGTTTGTGTAGAGCACCTTCTTTTGAAGGACTAGCAGGAGCAGAATGAGATGAGGGGTTATTTTGGCGATGGAGATTAAGGCAGGGGCTTTTTGTCATTTGTGCGAGACAAGCCATTCATCCATCCAGTTCACAGCCAAAAAAAGGCTGGTCCCAGAAATTAGCAGTTTCAGCTCAGCAGCAAAGTCGTCGGGCTGTGAAGGCAGAGAGAAATTGACTAATTAGCAATGCGCACTAAAACTTGACGGTTCTCTCTATAACAGCGAGGGAAAGACTCGGTTTTTCTCCCCCTTTCTCTTTTCTTTCTTCCATAGATGTTTGAAATCGCAGTCATTTACGCTCGACAGTTTTTACAATAGCCTTGAGCCATAATTTTGCGAGTCTCTCCAGCATCCATACCCCTGCATGGTCTCTCTCCACCGGCCATGCACGACCGTTTCTCTCCCCAACCGTGGATTTCCTATTACTCTCGTTACGACTCACTGAGCCCCAGGCCCAAGGATAATGATGTGTTGTTTCTTGGTAGCATAATTTGTCACACGTATATTTCTTCTTCTTCTTCTCTTGCAGAAAGCACAGCTCCCTCTCACACACTCACACACTTCTTGTTAATTCAGAAGAACAAATGATCAACGTCAACAAATAACCTGAAAATAGTGACTTTATGAGTTGGAATCAATGGTTATTTGGAGACACCACCGACCATAGACTTTAAAGGAAAGGACATTTCTTTAAAAGGAGAACAAAGGGGGAAATTCAAGTGAGATTATTTGGAAACCTGAAGCTTACTTTCTTTTTTTTGGTCAAGAGCTGAAGTCAGGTAAGTTTGGCTCCTTCTCACAGGCGAGCTGCTCACATCATTTAGTTGTGACAGGCGCTTTTAGTGAATCTGGCGACAACGTTACAGCACGCTTAGTGTCAAGTTTACACACATTACGCACATAGAAAATAGCTTCTTGTGCTGCCGAAGAAACAATAGATATGCACATTACGTTTAACTTTACCGAAAGCTGCATTTCAGTGAATATTTGTCGATACTCACGTCCGCGTAACTCAGGTAGGGCTAAAAGCGAAAAGGCGCCCGTACTGCTGCTGACGGCTCGGAGACAAAAACTAATTGCTTTTGTATGACTCCGTAAATCTGTGCGATGTGTAATGTCCTCATTGTGGGGGTGTGCGGCAAGATAGGAGATGGGGGATAAGTGTTAGCTGAACGCTGCATGTTCTCCGTCCACCGTAGCGGTTGTCTCTCTTTGCCTTATCCGACAACTTCAGCCGCGTTACCGAGGCGCTGCAGCATCTTCGTATCCTCGGTTTGTTTTGACAGCGCCCTTCACAAACCTCAGCCTCCATTTAAATCATCTTGCTCTCGAGTTAAGAATGAATAAGAGTGGCACGCCGTGGGAACTACTGCGTTTTTGTTTGTTGCTTTACGACCAGAGCTCAAAGTTGAAAGCGACTGAAGCCGTATTGGATGTAGATTCTCGCCGGCGTGATGGTTGTTCCCCGCTGGACGGACGCGAGATCTGTTCAATAACTTACTCGAGAAGTCGTTTTTGCTATTTTAACAGTTGACTGCTAGCATCTGTAGGATAACGTTGTGTTGTGCAAATAAATGACCTGAGGTAAATGGCTTGCATGGTTTATTTGTTGCCTAGGTGGCGTTCACAGTCAGGAAGTCATGTCCAGATCGGGTGATAGAACATCCACCTTTGACCCAACACACAGTGACACCCTGCTGCACGGGCTCAATCTCTTATGGAGAAAACAGCTTTTCTGTGATGTGACTCTCACTGCCCAGGGACAACAGTTCCACTGCCACAAAGCCGTGCTGGCGTCCTGCTCCCAGTATTTCAGATCTCTCTTCTCTTCCCATAATGTAATCAACAATGAGGGGAGCAAAGGGGACCAGGGCAGCAGTGGGACCCCCTCATCCTCTCCTGATGACAAGCTGGTGACCCCCAGCGCAAGGCCCATCAATAACCTGGTACTCCAGGGCTGCTCCTCCATTGGACTACGATTAGTGCTGGAGTACCTGTACACTGCCAATGTGACTCTTTCCCTGGACACAGTGGAAGAGGTGCTGTCAGTCAGCAAGATCCTCAACATCCCCCAGATTACTAAGCTCAGCGTGCAGTTTCTCAACGACCAGATCTCTGTGCAAAACTACAAGCAGATCTGCAAGATTGCCGCACTCCATGGACTGGATGAGACCAAGAAGCTGGCCAACAAGTACCTGGTGGAGGATGTGCTGCTGCTGAACTTTGAGGAGATGTGTGCCATGCTAGATGCTCTGCCACCTCCTGTGGAGTCAGAACTGGCTCTATTCCAGATGTCAGTCCTCTGGCTGGAGCATGACCGGGAGACTCGCATGCACTATGCGCCGGACCTTATGAAGAGGCTGCGCTTCGCCCTTATACCTGCTCCAGAGCTGGTGGAGAGGGTGCAGTCTGTTGACTTCATGAGGAGTGACCCTGTGTGCCAGAAACTACTCCTGGATGCCATGAACTACCACCTAATGCCCTTCAGGCAGCACTGTAGGCAGTCCATGGCCAGCAGGTGAGGACGAAACAGACAAACATATACAGATACAAAAAGAGAAACACAGACACACAGAGTTCTCTCTCTCACACTCACACACACGGCCATGAGCTGTTTGAGAGTGGACGGAAGGCGATTAAATGCCTCCTACTTAAATTTGAACAAATTGCCGACTCAAGTGTTGCCCACTCGCTCCTACTGGTCTCACCGCCTGTGTAGTCTAGACCATGTAGGTGGTCAGTCAGAGATGTGAGGTTTGAGGCCTAGTTAATGAAGATTGTGGGGGGTTTTCCTGTACAAGAATGCCAGCTGTCGGGGGGCTTGATCTACTCTATGCTACACTGTATCCATAATTACAAGGTTACCTTATGTTTTAGCAAAGAAAAAACAACTCTATTTCCTCACACATCTGTGTAATTGCTCTCTAATCAGTGTAGACAAGATGCAGCAAACTAGATAAAGGCTATGCGTTTGATGTGTAGCAACTCTCATGAACACAATTTAAAATGCTGTAATTAAATTGTTACCAGAATTATATGGTAATTACATAACAATTCTGATACAAGTACAAGGATACTCCAGTTATTGAGGTCACAGTAACTCAAAATAAAACACAGTCAGAGGGAATTCATTATATTTGGGTGTGTATTATATTTGGGAAAATGCAGCTTTTATCAAATAAGGGACAATTTGACAATTCTCTCTATATTCAGGGTGGACGTGTCTCACTCGCACAAAAATAGGCCAAACTGCATGCCTTACTTCTATGTTTGTCCTGATCAGCACTTTAAGGAGCTGGTAAGTAGACAGACATTGTCAGTAAGTTGATTGATTGACGGAGCTGTTGTCAGGTTTTGTTTACAGAGCTGACTCTGTACAGTCAAGACTGGAAATCTTTTTAGCAGTGATGGCATCCGTATTCAAATTTTGAATTCATTGCATATATCTTTAAAGAGCAGAAAATTAGAGCCGTGACATCTCCAAACTTGAAAATCAAAATTTTCACAAGGAATCTTAAAGTGAGACAATTTTACGTGTATCTATTCCCACATTATTCCAATAACATATCTATCCCCACATATGGACCTAAATGAGCAAAGAATCAGGAATCCTCATAATTAGTTTCACATGCCACTGTTTCTCTCCTCTCTCAATTAATCACCATTATCTATGTCCAGGGGCTCATTTGCATATGAATAACCCCAAAACACTTCAGAGTGGGCCAGTAGCAGAGAGAATGTACCGAGACGGCGGTGATTCTCCCAAGCATAAAAAAGTAAAATATGAAAAAGGAAAAAAGGTGAATGTGACTGAATATAAAGGCCAGCTACTCTTAATCGTTTTACTGCATATTGTGATTAATTTCTGGATTTGTTTTGAAATCCATTAGAAGCCAGATAATGGTCATTAATGTACAGTAAAGTGTGCGGCTTTTGGGTTATATATCATATACAAACAGCAGGAAATATCTCACAACTGGCTTAGAGATGTCACATGAATCACTGCAGCCAATGAAATGGAGACAGTGTATAGGCAGGTTTATGTACTCAATTGCGCTTTTAGCCTCCAGCAAGGCACCCTGCGCGACCATCTTCGCTTCACAGCTAATTGAAAAGATATCTTTAGAGTACAATAACCATTCAATAACACATCAAAAGGATAAGTACGCTGTTCAGCAATTTTTTTGTTAATCATGATAAACGTGACCACATATTACTTGATTAGTGGGCTCAAGTTTAATACTTGTACCCAGACGAGGAGCAGTCATTCATTTAACCATGCATTTGTTTTTTCATTCACTGATTATTTCAATTATATGTTGCATGCATTCTCAGAGTGACAAATAAAAATATGGAGGGAAAGTGTTGTTGATGCTATCAAAGTAATTATGTAAATGAAGGAATTAAAGGTGTCCAGGTTCAGGTTGTGCACACCCCGGCCCTTGGATGTTTTATTTCAAGTCTTGATACCTGTTTTGTTCTCTGTTTCCTAACGCTTGTCCACACACCCACACTTTTGACATTACAGAATCCGTTCCAATAAGAGAATGCTGTTACTGGTGGGTGGTTTGCCTCCTGGACCTGATCGTCTCCCCAGCAATTTGGTCCAGTACTATGACGACGAGAAAAAGACATGGAAGATCCTCACAAGTGAGTAGCAAAGGCTCTGCTGCTTTTTTTTTTTAACCTGAGGCATCTTGTGTTAGTGGCTTTTATGATGAGAGAAAGTTGTTCCTATGGATGACTTTAACACAGGTTAATTTCCACAGGAAATGAGGGGAAGGAGTTCCCTAAATCCTTTAGGTAATAATGCATCACTATCACTTTTAATATAAATTTTTAATCAGAGCGTGACTTCACAGCACTGTGGAGCTTCATGCCCGGTTTCCCTTGTTTTTGCTGAAATATGCTGGCAGGATGCATGATGAGATTTACTTGAATCTAATGATCTATTGTGGCAGAGATCTAACAATAATGAATGCCATATTTCCTCAATAGCTTTTAAATGTAGCTTGATTATTCACTCACATTGATCGATACGTGAGATTGAATTACCCGATACATACTAAAGCGCAGCATGGAATTAGCCTGTTGACCTATGAGTACCGACAACTTAAATACCAAAGAGATGGATGGGGTTAGTGCAACACAGGAGCCATACTGTTCATACAAACATTCAAAAGCAAATATATGATTTTAATTGACTAAATAGCAAAAATAAACAATATAAAATGTATCCTAGAACATGTAGGAATTTATACTAGAGTACAGTTTATAAAATTGATTTCATGATGTCATATTGGAAGCAAGTTGTCATAATTTCCCCCCAAAATCTACTTTATTGAAAAAAATGTAGTGTCTATAGAAAACATGTTTGAAGACTCACCTCTGTAAAGTGTGCTATGCTCTTTTTTCTCCCTGTCTTCCCTGACCTTTTAAGGCTCACCACTATATTGTTGCCATATTGCAAAGGTCAAACAGGAGCTAATGGGAAACCATATCTGTGCTTTGCATCATCATTGCCGGACATATTGAGTTTTTGTCTTTTTGTTTTGGTTGGAGACATATCTCAGCAGTGTCTCTTCATTCGTACACATTAGCCATAGGGTCTGTTTTCTGTCAGCTCGGTACTGTGCGGTTTATGATCTCAATTTATGGCATGAGTTTTTTTTAATGAATCTGGTGTGGTGTTTCTCTTGTTGTGTCTCACGCTGTCTTCAATTCAGAGAAAGTTTTGGACATTGTTTCGTCCTCAAACATTTCTGGGCAGTCGTTTGTTGTTTTAGCTCATGTTTGCTGAAAATTACCAGGGTGCGTTTTTACTAAAGGAGCCATGCATAC